AATGATAATTCATAGACTGGTTTGTTTGCTGTACAGTCAAAAGATATGAATTGTTGATGTAACATTGCCTGTAATCTTTGTGCAACTATACAAATTGTTTCAGCAGTAAATAAATCAAGTGAAGCATTAATGGTACATGAGAGTTCATTTAGATTCAGATCATGTTGAAAACTAAGAATAAAATCAAATTTACTCATTATTTCATCTTCACTAATCTTAATAGAATAAGGTAATAAAGAAAGTCGACTATCACCAATCATTATTTCATCTTTCTCATCTTTTGTCATAGATGATACAAAGTCAAATGATGTATCAAGAAATACAGGATTTGATATATTTGGATGTTGATTGAGAATACGTTGAAGAGGAAAATATGAATATTTAATACAGTTTATCATATTATCTTGAACGTGTTTAGTGATTTTATCAAATGATAAATGAGGATCAAGTTGACATCGCAAAGGTATAGCATTCACAAACATTCCAATGATAGAGTTAAGTTCATCTCTATATCTACCATCTGTATTTATTCCAATGCATAAATCTGTTTCTCCATTCGTTAATTTGAATAAAAAGACATAATAAATAACAAGCGCAAGCTGTTCCAGAGATATATTATTTAATGATGCATGAATAAGAAAGTCATGTGAGAGATCTTGACCAAAATTAAAAGAAATAGATGTTCCACGACCAGTTCGATGTTCATTTGAGAGACGATATCGATCATATGGTAATGATAAAGACTGATCGAGTTTACAATTATGAAGAGCATCAAGCCAAAACATACTTGCACCAGTCATTGGCATTTGTTGTTCAATAACAGCATCTATTATATAATCAAAGAAAAGAATGTATTAGAAAAGTTGAAAATACGAGAAATCTTTGTATTTACAATCAAGATAACGAAGATTAGTGTTGTCATCATATAATAATTGACCTGTTGTATATGCTTGATTGAGATCATGATGAAATACTTTCGTTGATGGAAAGTCAAATAAAGCATGATGAAAGTTGAAGATAAGTAGATCTTTGCGAGAAAGAATATGATCTGAAGGTATTTGTTTGTAATAAATAATATGACACCGAAAGACAAGACCTTGAGCAAGATCAAAAAGATGAGGATTACGTTTCTCGTCGTGTAAAATCTCATTCAATTGTGCATCTGTTTCATAAGTAGTTTCGATGATTGAAAATATGTTATTACTATTGTTGTTTTTATCTTCGTGAGTAATAACTCGTTGCATAAGTAGATTCTTTTGGATGTCGAAACGAAGTGATGTATGAAGTGAGGGATGTTTGTTAACAATGAGGTGAAGTGCATGATAAAGTTGTTTAATCGATAAAGTATGACCTGGTTGCAGACGATAAACAAAAGGCATATTATAGATTGCTACCTGTGGCTTGTCTGGATCGAATCGAATTCGTTCGTCAAGCCATATACGAGCTTGAGCATAGGAAGCTGATGCTAGAACAATGGAAATTTCGTATTAAGAGTTCATTTATATTGATTTAATAAATAGAAACTAAAGAGTTTTGAATTTTGAAATTACTTATTATAAATATGAGTTGTACATTGAGCAGTATACTATTTTTCTATCTAAATTGACTACAGCTTCAGATGATAATCAAATTAGAGGTTTTTTGTATAAATAAATATTTTTCTGAATCTAAAGGCGTGTAAGTTGTAGAAAATGAACACGAACGAAATGAAATAGGTTTTATGTCTAAACGTGGTCGAAATGAAATTTTTAGGAAAGCTGAAAAATTAGTTTCTGTCTATCTCAGATTCGAATAGAAAAATCACTATCATATTGCAAGAATAATCTTCTCCTAATCTGGTAAAATAGACTCAATTTTTAACTCTTATGATCGAAGTAAGATTTTTTGTTAGCGTACACTTAGTGCAGTCAAACAATTCATGATCAGTTTCGGGTAGGAAGTATCACCACTAATGATAGTATTTCGACTTAATCTTTATAAATCTTCAAAACTAAATTTAGTTACTCTTTATCTCAGAGAAAAGTAATTGAACTTCGATCATGTATCTTACAATTTAGATGGTAAAAATATGAATCAATATAGAATATATCCTGTTATTTGGTTTTTTTGCTGAATTCATTCTTTTGCTCAGTATTTGACGAATAAGATTTTTGAAAAGGTTATTGTGAGAAGCTTTATTACATTGGAAATATCATTTGCTAGCACATTTATACGAATTTCATTGTTATACATTCAAAAACAACAGATTGGACAGACATACCTTCATTTGCAATAGTCGGTAATCTGTGAAAGATTACTTTTTGTGTTTCTCCGATTTCTTCAGGTAAATTAAGTGATAAATTGCTGATAGATATACTATATTGATCACAGATTGGCTCGCCTACAATCGAAGAACAAAAGAGTTGCGTAAGGATATGCTGGAAACGCTTTGATAGTAAATCGACATCATCTTGATGTTTAAATATATCGGACGAACAATTCAGAAAACACTCGTTACTTCTCGTATGATGATCATGTATAATTGTAAAAGACATATCGAATAATGATGTACCGTTTTGGTGATTTAGATCTCGGTCATAGTAACCACTTACAACCGAACCTTCGCTCACAGTTAATTCCACTGAGTTTTTCTGTGTTATTGATAATAATGAAGATTCATACTGGAAAAGCGCTGAAGGTAATATATTATTTTCTCGTTTGCCTTGTGACTCAATAATCTGTTGATAAGGTAAAGAAGCATGCACGAGAATTTCATTGCTTAGTTGTTGTACTTGTTGCACAAGATGTTCAAATGTATTATTTGGTTCAATTTTAATTCTGTATAATAGAAGATTGACAAACATACCGATCATATCTTGTAACTCTTTCTCAGATCGATTAGCTGCGCTGCTTACTACACACAAGTCATCATTATGATTAGTTAGTTTAAATAAGAATGTATAGTAACAGGCAAGAGACAATGAAAACATTGTTACGTTCTTGGTTGAAGAAAACAACATCATTGCGTTGACAACATCTTGATTGATAGTAAATGCAGTTGAATAACCACGGCCAGAATGATGTCGATCAGTTTGACTTTCATCGGGCACCAAAAGTCGTATTCTATCCCAGTCGTATCCATGCATAAGATTAGCCCAAAACCGACGAGCTTTGTTCATTTTTGACTCCGGGCTTCTGTCGGCTAGCAGTGCCTGTTCGTACAGTGCAAAGTCAATGTATTGTGGAATTGTTAACACTGATTCTTGATATTCATTCCCCCAGCATGCTAATTCAAATGCTTTTAGAAATGGTTTATATGAGCTGAGATCAAATGCGATATGGTGAATCACGAAAATAATAAGATCATCTTCGTGTAGTGAATCAGCATGACCCTCAGCAAGTCGTTGCACTACATGACATCGTAAAACTTTTCCGTTCTTAACATCAAAATAGTTTGCAGTTGATTCGTTCGTCAGTAGACAATCAAGTTGTTCCAATGTGGAAACACCTCGAGAATGTTGAAACGAATAGATATCGTCGGTGACTGGTTGAATGTTTTGCTCAATTCGATTACGTATTGGATCGAAACGAACGGCAGTGCGAAGAACTGTATGCTGCTGAATTACTGAGACTAATGATAAACGAATATGTTCTATTGACACTGAACCCCGTTTGATCTGCAATGGAACCAGAGTATTATAGATAGAAAAATCGGAACCACTAAAATAAATATTTTCATGCATGTAGATACGCTGTTGAGCAGATGAAGCAACAGCTTCTGTTCGACCAGAAACTATTAGTTGTTCTGCTTTACGGCCAGTGGCCACTGCTGTTGGCTTCTTTTTGCGAAACATTTTTTGTAATAAACAACTACAAAAACATATTTCTAGTGCAAAAAGCCAATTACAATCTACAAATTACAAACACATAAACGAAAAGAAAACATGAACTTGAACAAATCAGAAAAAAGTTCAACACGATTAAATTCGTTATTTATTATTCTAATTAGAAAACTAAAGCAGTAGTTTTCATCGTTCATACAAGGATTCCATGAACAACCACATAATAATGTTAATTTATCTAATTTTATTTTCATATTTAAATGCGTAATCAATGCGATTACTTGTTGACTATTCAGATAAATCCGAATTCTTGCTTGTTTGATGAGGCAAACTTCAGATCAAAGTTTATAATTGAACTGAATTTCAAAAATTATATTGTCTTACTTATTTTGAGTATAAACTAAAGATGTTTTCACTGAAATCGATACATTTCCTTTTGCAGCAGCACTGCACTGTAAAAAATAAGTGTAGAATAACAAACCCTGCAAAAGGATTTTTGAGCCTCATAAACCCTCTCATATACCCTTTTTCTTCATCATCCCTAGGAAGGGTATATTATACGTTGCACTTTCATAGACACCTCAGGGTATATGAGCAGTAATAAACCCTTGAAGGGTCATTGAACTTCATAAACCCTACGGAAAATGATTTAATAATATACCATTGGTAAGAAACCGTAGAATAAAAAACTCTTTTTCGAAGCGTTTATGAAGTTCAATGACCCTTCAAGGGTATATTACTGCTCATATACCCTGAGGTGTCTATGAAAGTGCAACGTATAATATACCCTTCCTAGGGTTGATGAAGAAAAAGGGTTTATGACAGGGTTCATCATACTAAAAGGGTATATGAGAGGGTTTATGAGGCTCAAAAATCCTTTTGGAGGGTTTGTTATTCTACGCTTATTCCCTCGACTGAAAGGAGGGTGATACGAAAAAAACGAAAATGCGTTTGTCTGTCTGTCGCAGGTCAAAGGTCAAAGGTCAAAGGTCAAAGGTCAAAAAAACATCGAAAACTAATTTTTCGAAAAAGACATTTCTAGAGGTATTTCGATGCGCAGACTTCGAATCTGAGGTCAGTTGGGTGACTTCGACTATGGGTGGGGGGGGGGGGTCTAGGGTCAGAGGTTAAAAAACTCGGAAAACAGTTTTTTGGAAAGAGACATTTCTCGAGGTATTCCGATGAGGAGACTTTGAATCCGAGGACGGTTGGGTCACTATCTGGGGTTGAGTGAATGAAGAGAGGTCGTAGGTGAAAAAGAACAACGAAAATCAATTTTTTACGATTTTCGTTTGTTTTTCTAGTAAATGTGAAGAAAAGGCGTTTCAACGAAAAAGGGCTAAGCAAATTTTCGGACGAACGTTACTTGTTGACTAATCAGAAACGGAGGATGATAGAGTTGGCCAATCAAAAATTGCGAGTAAAGAAACTGTAGAATTGAGGTTTGAGAGTGTTGTTATAGATGTGCGTGTTAGGGTGAGTTGGTTCCGAGTTTGGTTAATGGTGTGGAAAGGTGGATGAGGATGTCGAATAGCAAAATAATCACACCGACACCTACACCGTCACCCACACCCACCAGCATCACACACCCCTGCATTGCATTGTATGAAGTAGTGAGATTGTTTTCTTTCCTCGACTGTAAGGAGGGTCTAGGAGAAAAACGTTTGTCTGTCTTTCTGGAGAGTTCAAAGGAACGTTGGCGTGAACAAAACACATTCAGTCGGAAAACCTTTCAAAACCATAATCGTAAGTGCTCGCGAGCGGGGGATCCGATGACACCATTGGTTTCTCGATATGCCTCCCTCGACCATTATATGGGAAAGTATACCTAGAGAGTGCCTACTCTTAAATAATCGTGTAACAACAATAGATGAGTGACGCAAAGAGTGAAAAGCAGTTAGTATCATCGATTAGCAGCGGTGAGTCGGGAGTGGCGGACCGAAGGGACGCCGACGACCGACGAGCCGCTGCGGATATAAGACTGTTCATGGAGGTGCTCGGCTATTATCTAGAAAAAGTTTTTGTTGGATTCATCGAGTCACCCGGGATAATGCTGAAAATTGAGAAACAATTTAACAAACTATGGTATAAGTAGTAAAAGAGTGCATCTCCATGATTTGTTTTTGGAAGTATACTAGTCGCTATCAGTCGAGGGTCCAGCGAGTCGCTCCGACGCGCGTTACTTGTTTTTTACAGTGTAGTTAATATTACTATGCAAAAGAACTGTCGAAATGTTATGTCTATATTTATCATTAAATATGATAAAACATTAAGTTCATCCAAAATAGTGTGTTCCAAACTGTCGAATTTGTAGATTCATAGAGTGATTCTGATCGCTAGTGTTACATACTACACTACTCTCTAAAATAGTTATCAGAATTATCGTATGTTCTAGGTAGCAATAGCCTTAAAATACATCGTCTATTATAAAATATTATGCTCTATTATATTCAATGATACAAGTATACACAAATTTCAACAACTAATAATTGACATCAATCAGCGCTACTAAGTTAGATATATTATTAAAATTACTAGAGAACGTGTTCAGCTGTCGAATTGCTTTTAATATCGAACACTATTTACAAGACAGACTTCAGTGAGATATGAAAAACTCGGAAAGGTTAGATCCTTTCGGGCATTCTCCTTATATGTATTGACATTTTATGGGGAGTTTTTATTATGATATTATTTATACCCACAAAGTGAATAATAGTATTTCACCCTAAAGTTTTACTTACAAACAAGTTTATTTGTGAGTAGAGTACTTATAAATTCAGTTTAGAAGAATGTTTCTTTTTCAAGATATCAACGATCTAGAAACCACTTGTATATCATGAAAGGTGTAAGAAATATTCGTTTTTGAGAGTTGCGTAGCTCGGAAAGAAAATGCTAAACTTGTCAGAGAATTCTACTCATAGATAGATCTGTTTGTAAGAGAAAACTCAGATCCAAATACTTTTATTCAGTTTGTTGATATAGACTATGCTGTCTGTTACAATTCCAGTAAAACGTTAGAAAACCTAGGAGGATCTATCTTTTTCAGTTTGTTTTAGCCTTCAATGATATCCATCTTAAGTTTAGACTTGGATCCTAAAATCAAATGGCCAGCTGAAAATATTTCGTCGTTAGTGAAAAAAACTTTGATTTCTTTTCAAAATAATCTATTCAAAGTAATTCACGATGTTCTTTTTAGTCGTATTTTCATTTTAACTTCGTATTTTTCCTGAGAAATTTTCAAGTAATTATAATGGCTTTGAACTTTGAACTTTTAATTTTCCTTTAGAGAAAGCATTTTCTACAATAAACTAATATATTATAATAAAAGCATATTATTTATTTTTATTGCTAAAGACTTTCGTCGCTATAACGAGTTTATTAATCAGTTTAATGATAACTACTCCTAGCTTGCTTGTTTGAATGTACTTGAAGTCATACAGAGTCGGCTCATAGCGACTCAACACAACATTTTTTCAATCTTTTCTTTATACATCATCAATTATATATCATATTTGTACCACATGTACTAGTTAGCATAATTCAAACATGAAGAACATGATTGAGTTTTAGGTATGATAGTTTGTTTAAAAGCATACAAATACACACTGGTCAATAGTAAGATAACAAGTCTGAATTCTAACAAATTTTCATATAAAAATGTTCAAGGTGTTCGTTACTATGACAAACGTTTTTGATACGATCACTCAGACTTGTTACCCTCATTTCGATCATCATGCATTTATATGTTTTTAAGCAAACTACCACATCTAAATATTGACCATATACTACATCTTTGAGTTATGCTATCTAATACTTGTGATATAAATATGAGATCTAACTGACAATGTATAAAGAAAAAATTGAAAAATATTTTGTGTTATGTAACTTTTGATCGACTATGCATATCAAAGAGTATAGCTGCTGTTAAACTGTTTTAGCTACTGTATGTAGAGTTTTTTAGACATGGATAATTTACATAAGAATGCTGAATTTCTGAAATATTCCACTCAAATAATGAGATGCATGAAATTTTACTTCCGAGTGCCCTTATTTTGATGATTAAGAATTCTACAAGTATTTCTATAGTGTGATATCCGATAAATATTAGAATTAGTACATAAAAAAAGAAGTTCAAACTAACCCGATCATCAATGTTTAGAGAGTATTAATGTTATTATTATTGTGAATTCTAATCGTCCAAAAGAAGTAATCGAACTTCGATAATCATTAGATGATCCTTGAGTTGTCTTATGATTTCATGTGCAATAATTTCATCATGTTCTTTGCGGACTGCCACTAATTGATAAGGTCCACGTGGTTGAATACGACGCATTTGTAAAATCATATCACGAGCAGAAGTAGATGTCGATGCTGTTGATATCACTGGTGGCATTTGTATAGCATAAACGAGAACTGGTCTTGTTTGATTTTGTTGTTCGTATATTTTGTCAATGAATAATTTATTCAAGTTATCAGTATTGGTCGGTGATTGCTTTGTAATACAGAAGAAAACATCACTACTGCACTGCAGTGGATTTTGAAGACAGATGATATTCTCTATGCCAGTGTAACTAGAGTTATGAGATAGTTTTATTTCATTTTCTTTGATTAGATCAGTATCCATGTGCTCTTCTTTAGCAGTCGATGACACAACTTGATATCGTTCGTTGAGCTTATTATGAATTATTGTAGCAATAGTTTCAATAGAATATCCTTGGAGTAGATCAACTAAAGGTATATAAACACCGGCCTCTTGTTCCAACCAATTATATAGTGAAAGAGCTGCTAATGAGTCCATACCTTGGCTAACCAATGAACGATCAACTAGGATACGATCAATATCAGCTGCACCTAGAAGACGTGCTACAGTCATCTGAATTCGTTCAATAATAGTTTCTTTTCGATTCAAGTTCGAACTAGTTGTACTACTAAGTCCTGCTGATGTTGTTGACATATTTATGAGTTCCATAACAGAGTATCGTTCTTCCACTATTTCATTCAATTGAAATATTGGTAATTTATGGCGTCTTTTATATAATGTTTGCCAATTAACAGCAAAAATAACAGGACATGGACAAGTCTTCTGATTTGTATGAAAGCGTTCAATCAGCTCGAATACAGCTATTGGTGGCAATACTTCAAAGCCATATGTACTTTGTAAAGTAGTGAGCATATCTCGTTGTCGATGAAACATGCCTGCACCACTTACAGCAGGCAAGCTAACTGAGAGAGCAGGTAAATTTTGTTGAGTCATACGATAGTGAGCAAGAGCGTCGAGAAATTGATTACCAGCATTGTAACCGGACGATGCCACTTCAAGTAGATGATTTCGAATTGATGAGAACATAACGAAAAAGTGAAGAGGAGCATGAGTAAGCTGTGTTACTTGATGAAGAATCCAAGCACCACGAGCTTTTGCTGCTAAAACATGTGGCAAATATTCCTGTGTCATTTTAGCCAAAGTTCGATCTTCTGCAACCACAGCACTGTGAATAATTCCTCGAACAGGATAAGAGGTGTGACTTATTTTTTTGATCAGATCATACACTTGATCAAAATTTGTTACATCTGCTTGAACAACATCAACATGAGCGTGATGTTCATTTATTGTTTGTTTCAAGCGTAACCAATCATCGTACTGTGGATTCGAAGATTGTTCAAGTTCAGATAATGTTCGACGACTCATAAGAATAATACGTTTTACACCTCGTTTCTCTATCATCCACCGAGACATTGTCAATCCAAGGCCACCAAACCCACCAGAAATCAAAATTGTTCCTTGTTGGCAAACAGTCAAAGGAAACATAATATCATTATCTAAATTTATATTCATTAGAATCATAATGAAAGATTAGTAAAAATTACCTTCGATTAAATTATTATGATGTACGCTATTCAAACAGAGTGATTCATTGGAGTTGGTTAGACGAACAACAGCTTTACCCATAACTTGATCACTATTACATCTCATAAATGCATCAATCACTTGAGATGGTTCATACATAACTGTAGGTTCAATTGCTTTTAATTTGCTTTGTATAATTAAATCAACCATTTCTTGTAGTATAGCAGAGAAAATGTCTGGATGCTTGTTAGAAAGTGAAACTAAATCAATGAGATGAAAACTACAATCTGATCGAAAGTCAAACATCGACAGTTGAGTCTTTTCAAAAACATCTCTTTTCCCCCATTCAACAAAATGACCATGATCAGCAAGCAGTTTTATGGATTCTTGTAAAAGAATACCGGATAAAGAATTAATGACAACATCAACACCATGAGGTAAAATACTTCTCACACCACTAACAAAAGAAGTATTTCGGCTATTAAATACATATTCCAGGCCGTAATGCTCACGTAAAAACCGTCGCTTCTCTTCAGTTCCAGCTGTAGCTATAACACGAGCCCCAATCCATTGACAATACTGTATACAAATTTGACCAGCACCACCTGTTGCAGCATGAATGAGAACAGTTTGATCACGTCGCAAATGAACACGATATTTGAGAGAATAGATGACTGTTAGACATACAACGGGCATAACTGATAATTGTTCATCGGTGAGAGGACATTCGGATGGAATACACTTTACTTGTAATGCGTTGACAATGACATGTGAATGAAATGCACCATGTACTGAGCCTACAACATGATCACCTGGTTGAAAACTGACACTAGGACATGCACGTATGATAGTGCCAACAAAATCTGAACCTGGTTCAGTGTCTCGATTCATATGTGGCTGATGCTCATCCAATTGTGCAAACGTACGAGTATGTGGATACAGACCTCGTGCTTTCAATACGTCACGAAAGTTAATGCCTACACAGTGAATTTGAACTTCTACCATGCCTGGTAATAATTCTTTTGCTCTATTGTCGGGAACCCATGTTAACTCAGTGAGAAACCGAGATGGAGGCACACGAAGACGGAATGGTTGTTGATTAGCATCTTGTTGAGGAATAATACAAATTTGTTTTAATTTTGATTGATCTTCTTCTTTGTCATGTGTTTGCAACATTCTATAATGCCATGTGATATGTTTAACTTTCTTTTCATTTTTGTCAAGACGAAGAACAATCTCATCAGTATTCTTTGTATATCGAGAAGTTTCCATATATTGTGCCAAAGCATAAACAAGTGCCGATTCATTAATCATTATTGGTAGTGTTTGTAGATCAATGAGCTTCAGTCGATGTTGTTCATATTCGACCATTAAACTTCGCACAAGACCAACAAGTGGTGATTCAATTATATTGCAGTCGGAACCAGTATTTAGTTGTGCATGTCTTGTGATAACAAATATAAATGGGAGAAAATTAGGTGATATTGCGTGAATTATTTGAAGAAGTTGGATGAATGTGCCACAAATAGATTCTTCGTGTTCTTTAAATGCCAAATCGATATTGTCACTAAGATAAGTTTGCTCAAATGGCCAAGCAAAAACAATATACAGTTGTTTATATTTCTTCATCAATGTTTTAAGTACAAAGCGAATTATATCAACCGTTGATGCACAAATATCCAAAAATCGAATGTTTGAACATGGCAAAAGTGACATGATGTTATGACCAAGACTTTGAGGATCGTTTTTGGCAAATATTAACCATGCTTGATG